TGATTGTATTGATGCAACTTGAAATGCTCCCAAAAATGGCTCTACAGCATGTAAAAATATAATATAAGCTCTGGCGGACTTGGTTCTATGGTAGGTGTTAAAAGGGTTAAAGGCAGGTCATGAAAATATTGTCGGTCCATGGTGCAAAAAAGGTTGGGGACCGCTGCTCTTAATTGTTGTGACAGGTGTTCGAAATGCAGAGAGGTGCACTTGATTTGCCACACGGAGCAGCGCAAGAGTAAAGCACGAGGGAGGGGCTAATAATTGGCTCAGTCGTCTTTAATGATCGTTGAAAGCCCAGATCGTAATCGAGATTAAAATTCGATTAATTGAGCAGCCCTATATTGAAGTGTGGAATGAAATGGGCTGGTTACGTTAAATCATCCCAGGATGTGGGTTAAATGTGTCTCTCCTCTTGGAGTCTCAGACTGAAGTCGATGAAGCAGAGATCAGGACCCTCATAATCTTTGAATGCATTTCCACAGGTCTATAAAATCAGGCATCCAGTCATGCAGTTACAAACCTTTGTGAAAAATGGCTCAGCTCACTGAATTCAAGTGTAGTGTTATAACAGATGCCACCACTGGAATAAGTTCAGAGAGCACAGGGGAAGAAGCTGTTTGTGAATGCAACGCCTCAGATGAAGCTGCCAATGTTACAACAATTGCCAGTGAATGATGAATATTTCAAGAAGCTCTATCAAGCCTGTTAGAGGAGGCTTCCTCATCCAACTGTTCACATCCTCCTTTCTTGCAGTACACTTGTAAAACAAACACTGTAAACAGATAATACACCCGGCTTATCTATGCTGTGACACCTGCCATTATGAATAAACTGTGTGTAAAAGAATATAACTTAATGAAGCGGGGAAGATAAACATCAGTGCTGCATTTATGCCGCCTCTCACACAGCGTGTCAGTGCATCATGACCCAGTGTCCTGCACCGGGAAGCTCTTGTAGGAGTCTTCTTAATCATAATCTACAAGGCCGGAAAAAGTTTCCTGTGCTTCAGAAAGTGGAGCATCAAAGGCGTCAAGCCGCCTGTTAAATTCCTCTACCCTTTATCATTCCTGGCAGTCTGCAATTAGGGGGGTAGAAACGTTATCTATGCATAGAAAGCCAGGGATTGTAAAAGAAACCAAAAGAGGACTGACTGTTGTTCTTGTTCCTGAAGGTGGTTCTTTGTGCCTCTGATGGTGTGTTTGTGTTGATGCTGCAGAATCAGGCCAAGGTCTCTCTAATATTGCTGAACATCAGGCTGTTAACTGCAGAGCATCAGACCTTATCTGTGATCCTCCCGACGGTTTCTCTCCTAACTCTTGGTTAGAGCTGGGCGATAGAACGATAACGATATGTATCGCGATATAACTTTT